CTACTATCCCCTCCCCCTACTAACCCCACCCCCTACTATCTACAGCCCCCTTCTTTTCCATGAAGGCTTTGTTTACTAGTTTTGGGATCTTCTTTAGCAACAAAATGATAATCGCCTAAGATTATAAGGGAGAGTGGATTCAATAGTTCTAACACAAATACAAGTACAATTACCTGTTTCTCATTTCATGTTTCAGTCCAATCAATCCAGAAATTAATGTTTGATTATTACTGAAACTTGACCATTGATTTCATTGAAGCCATGAATTTTGTTAGTTTGTAATTGTTTTGATAGTTTGAACCAATCAAATCTGTCGATAGTGTTAAGTGTTTGTTACTATATTGATAATGCCAGTAGGAGGGAGGATCTGAGATTCAGCTGTTTGGTCAACAAGTTTAAATTATGTTATCAACATTTCATTGCCATTTTTCATTTGGATGAATTATACATCAATCATGTTATCTCATTTACCCCTGAATACACATTTGGACTCTTCCAATTCAAAGATTGGAATAGACCATTATGAAATTTCAGGGGTGAATGAGTTAAAGTATCTCTTTGCACATTTCAAGATTGTTTTGTTTATCAATAATTTTCTTCTGTGTTCTGTGTAGTTTTGTATGTATGCTTTTAAGCTATTACACTGACAATCCAGAAGCCTGTTTCCAGCTGTTTAATGATATTTAGGAAACACTTTCTGTTTCAATAAAATGGGGGGGTTTCTGGGTTTTTTGTAAATATGCAGAAACTTGATTTTCTGGATTTTTTTTCTTTCTTAATGTTATTTCGACCTTCCGCCACCTCATGTTACATTTCCATGAACACCATGCTTCATTTTATCAGGATAACTTCACACAGTGGAAGGACGACTTGCCTTGCTGTTATAATAATCAACATATTTGTGAAAGAGAGCTATGTACTTGATTTTTATGTACCAGGTAACCCATTGTTATTTTGTCTCGTAGGCTTGCTGCCGGTGTGATAGGAGAGTGGGTTTGTGTAAACAAGACATGTTGGGCATTGTAACTGTTAGCTTTAATAGATATTGCCCCTCTGTAATAAACAGTGCTTTTTGTATGAACGCAAATTATTTAAGTGCCAAACCAGAATTTCTTTTGTCTTCGTATCGTAATATTATATTATTAAATTGACCTGTTAAATGTTAGGTTTTGTACTTTGTATTTACTTATTCATTCAAAATGCCATTTCATCCATGCTTTGCTTATTTTATGTGTTATTGAATCTGCAAAAAAGTCATCCTTATGGTATCGTTGGGAAGAAAAATGAGAGACAGACATAGAATGACAAAACAGATGGGCAGAGAAAGAGATGGAGAGAAAGAGAAATGGATGAACAGAAAAAAACAGACAGAGAGTTTCAGTAGATTGATTGACAGATATAATATGTACTGCTGAATAATAAATATTGTGAATTTTCAATGAAACTAAATAAATATCAGATGTACATGATATAATATGTACATGTGTCATATGCTCAGATTTGCGTCGACTGCTGAGACCGACAACCAGTTTTATCATGGGAAGGGAGGTAATCCTTACTTGAAATAACAGATTACCACAAAAAATATATGTTACATGAGTTTTACCCGAATTTGAAATCAGTTGTGATACCCTAGGCTTTGTGAAAGTGGATTTTAATCACCCTGTGACTTGTGATCAAGAATAAAATGGGTTTAGATATTAGTACGGTGTGTTAAGATAAATTTTGATGAAAAAAAATGACAATCATAATTACAGTTAAAGGTATTGAAAACGGAAGATAAAGTATAATTAGTTGCAAAATCAGCAGTATTTTTCTGCACCAAATTTGTTTCCTTTGAAAATTGATAATACTTACTTACCTGTAATCTGTGGGACAAATACACTGATGATGATGCTGTGTATTTATTTATTCCTTTTATTAACTGCTTTCTACTTGAGCTTTAATGTATCTAGTAGTAGGTTGGTTTGATAAATTGTCCACTGGGGTTTAACTTTCAAACTTCAGGCTGCTATTAGTTTCATTACTTTCTAACAACCCAATCAATTTATCATCTATTTGGGCAAACGATTTAGTTTTTGCCACTTAGAATTTTCCATGATTTTCCAAATAGTCCTCCTACTGTCAGTGTTGTTTCAGATTTTTTTCACTGTTATTCATTTTAACTTAATATATATCAGATTGTATTGTATAACGTTATAGTGAAACCTGACTTTACCGACCCCTGTCATCAATGACATACTGTAGTATATAACCTGACTTTACCGACCCGTCATCAATGACATACTGTAAAATAATACCTGACTTTAAGAACCCCTGACTTCAATGACATACTGTAATATATAACCTGACTTTACCGACCCCTGTCATCAATGACATACTGTAGTATATAACCTGTTTTATCGACACCTGACTTCAATGACATTTCAGCTTATGTCCTACAAATGACTGGCATCCTGTTACAACAATAACGATGCACTGTCATATCTGACCCATTCAGTGAAAGTCCTACTGGATGTTGGTAAAGACAGGTTTCAGTAGAAATGTAATACATCGTACCATATACTGGGACATTTTGGCCCCAGTTTCTGCCTTTTGCCTTTCCATCCTCTGTAATCAGGGGTGAATTATCATTGGAGTGAACGTTAATAAACAACAATAATAAACTTAGTATTTCAAATGTAACAGGCAAATAATGACCCGAAATATTTGTGTATTGTCCACACTTTTTTAGGGGAAAATGATCATATCAAGACAGGGGTGTGCACTACACACTGGAACAATAAAAAACCAGTCCTGGTTCGCGACCATTTATCATAAATTTTCCAGGGATTTTTGGAAATATTTTGAAATATACTCTCAGCAATCACAGCAATAAACCGACAAAATATTGCATAATATTTCCTGATTGCATTGTCTATTTAATGCAATTTAAGGTCATATTACAAAATTAATTCAGATAAATAAACTAGTACATTAGGCCTAACTTTCAGGTCTCTTCGACATTAAGTTGTGAATATTGATAAACACAGCAATTGGGAAATCTATACCGACGAATCCCACGGTACACTGGGAGGTTACAGCTTTATCTGACAAGGGTACGGTGAAACCTCGACGGGGCAAATGTTCCCCTGATACAGTATCAGTTTGTATTACCAGGTGTTTATCTTTGATCTGGTAATTGGAAAATGTGCTTACTTTTGTGATGTCCTAGCTACTAACTTAATTTATAATACTAAACACACTTTTCTTGTCAAGGGTTCATGTAAAATGTTCAAGCTGCGGAGTAACATAAAAAATGGCGCATTCCATGAACATTTACAAAAAGAACTTAGACGACATTTTTCTATTGAGTCTAGATTTTGATTTTCTTACTACATAGCGGTTTATTTCATGTCATTTTTCGTTTGTTAATTATTAAATAGTATTTATGAATTACTTTCACAATGGTGCATGATAATCTTTGCAGTTAATGTTCTTTTAATCTTTTTAAAAAAGATCTTATTGACAGATTGTCGAAAATGTGCAGTGTACTTTTCGTTTAGCGACTTGTTTTAATATTTTACAATTAAATTGTAACCAATGAAAGATTGCTGTTTGGTAATACATGTACAATGTGGTACAATTCTACTGTTATTGTTTCCTTAGAAATATCCATAATTTGGTGTTTCATTTATTGGACTTTTTTTTATATAAATTTCATTTCCTTATTGACTTATTTTTTTCATAACATAACTATTTTATCAAATTGCTAAAATATTGGGGAGTCGCAGATTTTTTTTACCTGAAATATTAAATTATTGAAGCATGGGACAGTTCAGTTCTCGCAGTAATGAAACAAGATGGTAAGGAGACTCTCTCTGAAATTCAGTGTAAATTGAAAGTTTTTTTAAACATTATGGTCCCTTAGATGTAAAATCTATGTAAATATTTCTTCCGCAAAATAAGGACGGAAGTTTCTCACGGTAAATGACAAACGTACACTGTTAAAGCTTTCTGTACAATGTAAATAAGCTTTCCGTACAATGTAATTTAAGCTTTCCATACAATGTAATTTAAGCTTTACGTACAGTGTAATTAAGCTTTACACACAATGTAGTTGAAGCTTTACGTACAATGTAATTTAAGCTTTCCGTACAATGTAATTAAGCTTTACGTACAATGTAATTTAAGCTTTACGTACAATGTAATTTAAGCTTTCAGTACAATGTATTTTAAGCTTTACGTACAATGTAATTTAAGCTTTACGTACAATGTAATTAAGCTTTACGTACAATGTAATTAAGCTTTACGTACAATGTAATTTAAGCTTTCTGTACAATGTTATTTAAGCTTTCCATACAATGTATTTTAAGCTTTCCGTACAATGTAATTAAGCTTTCCGTACAATGTAATTTAAGCTTTCCATACAATGTAATTTAAGCTTTCCGCACAATGTAATTTAAGCTTTCCATACAATGTAATTTAAGCTTTCCGTACAATGTAATTAAGCTTTCCGTACAATGTAATTAAGTTTTCCGTACAATGTAATTTAAGCTTTCTGTACAATGTAATTTAAGCTTTACGTACAATGTATTTTAAGCTTTACATACAATGTAATTTAAGCTTTCTGTACAATGTTATTTAAGCTTTCCATACAATGTATTTTAAGCTTTCCGTACAATGTAATTAAGCTTTACGTACAATGTAATTTAAGCTTTACATACAATGTAATTAAGCTTTACGTACAATGTAATTAAGCTTTACGTACAATGTTATTAAGTTTTCCGTATAATGTAATTTAAGCTTTACGTACAATGTAATTAAGCTTTACGTACAATGTAATTTAAGCTTTACATACAATGTAATTAAGCTTTACGTACAATGTAATTTAAGCTTTACGTACAATGTAATTAAGCTTTATGTACAATGTAATTAAGCTTAACGTACAATGTAATTAAGCTTTACGTACAATGTAATTTAAGCTTTACGTACAATGTAATCTAGGGGAAAGAGCGCAACTAAACAGGTTACAATATTATAACAGGTTACATGTAGACATGGTTGTATCCCTTTTCAGCTATATAATGCTATGTAAACAAATCTACAGCTAGGGACATCAGTTCTCCGTGTTCAGAGTAAAATTAATGAGAGTGCTCCTTTAACACTGGAGAATATAAAATTGAGTGAAAGGTTTCTTTCACAATATCACAAATTTAAAAGTTTTGAGGTTGAATTATTTTCTTACTTAAAACTTATATGTTAGCAATGTTTTTAGAGTTTTTCATAGGCACTAAAAACTGTTCATTATTTCTACTGGTAGTTGGAATTCATTTTTACATTGTTTTGATGTTGGTAGCCATGGTGCTTTAACTAGATTCGATAAAGTAAATATATTACGTTTATATGTAACTCAGAAAATATGTCTCCAAAATTTAAAAAGAAAAAAAAATGTTTATTTTTTTAAGTCGTTCACCCTTGAAGACATATTTGAACTCTTCCAATTCAAAGGTTGGAATAGTTCATTAAGAAATTTCAGGGGTGAATGAGTTAATATATAATGTAATTTTGATTAGTTTAATCACTATTTAGAATCATAATTTATGGCTTCACAAATAATGGTTTATAATGACATCAGTAACTCATTGTCTATGTGGATGCTTCTGGGAAGATTTCAAAAAGTTGCAAAGCATCATTAGAAAGATAAATAAATTTTGATTGACCTGTTGAAGCCATGAAATAAAGTCAGAATCAAGGTTATAAGTGTTGTAGTTACAGAGCTCAATATGAAACATTTGAAGAACATCATAATCACAATGTTGCATCTTGACCCGAGCGTCAACTTTAACCCCGACAGGCTGCTGTCACCAGGCAGTATCCTGATAATATGTCGCATGTCAGTCTCAAGAGTTTTCAAATCATCTGTTAAAAATCCCATTTCAACAGAACTGCAGTGCTTTGATTAGATTCCTATGTTTTCCTGACATTTTATACTACTTTCATGCATTAATCTGCATTTTGAAAATAGCTTTCCAGTTATGTTTCCATTATTATCTATGTACAAGCCTTTCACAGGTTCACTTACGACCTTAACTTTATAACACCCATTTAACGTGGAGGAAAGATTTTTTCATGGGTAAATAATTCAAGTTTGTTATTTTCAAATCAAAACATGCTTGTTTTCTCTATGATTTTTTTACCCTTTAAAATAACATCTTTTTTAAGCTATTTTTTTTTTTCAAAGTTAAGGAGTGTAAATTGAACATCACTTAAGGCACATTGACACTTGTTCCATATACTTCACTCGTTATTAATTAATGTATTTAATATTTTGTTATCAATTAAGAAATATTTAAAGCTGACTTTGACATCATTTGTGCCCGAATCCTCCCAAGTATTTGTATGTTACCCTTGCATTGCCTGTATGTAAATTCTATATGCATGCAGACTTTGGTAGTTTAAAATTTCCCAGATTTTTATTCAGATACATTTGTATATGTTAAATGATTTGAAATGGTTATAGAGTACTTGGTATATATACCATCTTATTTAAGCATACTCATTTGAAATTTCAACCCATTCGTCAGTTTTCTTTTATGTACTGGTATGCCATTTTGTTGTAAGCATTTCTTATTGAGTCGTTATTTCATTTAGAGTGATTGCCCTTTGTAGGAACTCATTGTTATTTTTGTCTGAGCTGTAATAGTCCTGTCCTTTATGCTTAATTGTATTTGCAATAAAATTGCAGTTGTACATCCTAATTTGTTGTTGACGACTTTCTGTCTTGTCTCCTAAAGAAATTGACCCGACTTGTTACCTCATAAACGAACCAATACTGTCTACCAGGTAATATTCGTGGCAGTGTTAGTTTGCTTCCTTTTCGTAGCAGGAGTCAAAGGCCCGGGGTTCCACTCACTTTCACTCTCTGAAGTGTCATTATGGAGGAAAGGGTTAACCTGTTGCTTGGTCTGTTATTGTACTGTATTGTTCTGAACAATTGACAAACTTCTTTTCAGGTACATTTCCTGTCTACCAACTCAAATCCAACAGGTGAAGGCTCCACATTTACGAGATTGAGAAATGGCACTAGAATTGAAATTAACAGATCACTCCCTGTGGAAGGTTATCATAAATACATGAGGTGTAGACAGAAATAAACAGCTTCGTGCTAAAACACCCGTAGGGAGACCAGCAAAGAAATGGTGGAAGTATTTGTTATTTTATATGATTAACTTATGCATCACCAACGCATTCATTGTAATGAAGGAATCTGTTGGTTATCAACCAAGGGAAAAGCGCTATCCCTTGTTGGATTTCCGCATCGACATTGCCAAGCAACTGATTGGGGATTTCACCAAAAGGAACAGGAGATGCAAATGGTGCACCAAACGTGGTGAAAAGAAACGAAAAGAAACTGTGTTTGGCTGTTCAAACTGTGACCTCCATTTATGCAGAGAGTCCTGTTTTGAACAATATCATCAACATCATGGACTGCCTTTTTGACTTTGAGCAATGAAATATCCAATTACAAAACAAATATTGAATTCATTCATTCTTCTACCTAAATCAAATCCATTGACTCCTAGAATTGAACAAAGATATATTGCATGAACTACCGTCTTTTACTTCAGTGATTTTGACTTTTAATTGACTTGGATGTATTGTAATTTGTCATTATCACTCTGAGAGGGTGAGAGAATACTGCATGCCGGAATATCTGTGCTGCAGTTTCGTTTTAAACCCTCCAAAATGAAGACAAATTTATCATTTCAGCGAATATAGGTAGGCAACATAATATACAGAGTAATTTTATGTGAACAGCGAACTTTACACCGGGTGCAAAATTGAATTTATGGGAGAACGGAAAAAGTTTTACTAGGCAAAAAATTGTCCGATTTACAGTATACAAATAGAAACAATGCAAGACTTTGATTGATTTTTTTTCATCTTGTGTTTAATACACCATCATCCTATAACATCTCCAGGCTTTGTTCCACGACAGACCTCTTAGTTAATAACAAAATTGTTGTAAACTCATAATGAAGGATTTCAGAAACTCCATAGCATCATCATGAGAAACGAGATATAGATGTAAACAAACAGCTACCAGGTAAAACAGCTGCTGAAGCCTGAACACACATCAGTCTCCTTATGTTGTTATATAGCTACTAACCTTCTTCCACCTAATCACTCGACCCCCCACGATTTTTGTGTGTAAAGATGTTCTGGTCTCTATAAACTGATTGTAGTTTGGGAACTATTGCATTGGTCCTGAAATCGTTATATTGTCTTTATAATCTTTATATATACGCAGGTGGATATTTCCATGCTAATTTACTCGGTGCGGCTAAACATCAGCATTTTCACTCCTCAAACTTTTCCTCTTTTACAGTAGTGATTTCAAACACATATGTACATGCACTTTACTGAGTCGACATGATATGGCATAGTCTTGAAATGTCACAAGAAAGTTTCCAGCTAACCTAGATATCCTAGATTTGTCCTTTGATTAAATCTATTGCTTACGAACATTTAAAAACAGAAGATACTTTTACAACAAATAATGTTATCTTTATCTAGGAAATTTGAACTGTGTTACAAATTATGAAAAACCTGTTGTCGGTCATCATAAGCATTTTAACAATTTCAAAATAAACATTGTTCAAAACATCTATAGGAATATTTTGCAGCAACCATGTTGGGTCAAGATTAATCTAGCTATTTCAGTGTCATTTTCCCAAATCAGTACTGTGCTCAAGATGTTGAATGCCGTGTACATCTAGGATTCCAACTGTTTTGTTACCCACTGCTTCAAGACCTGAAACAAAAACAATAATACAATTTAATTGTTGGGATATAACTCAATATACAATATGTACCTTGAATCAGCCAATGTCAGAGGACTGATCAGTCAATGTCAGAAGGGGGATAACTCCTTATATCAGTCAATGTCAGAGGGGGGATAACTCCTTATATCAGCCAATGTCAGAGGGGGGATAACTCCTTATATCAGTCGAAGTCAGAGGGGGGATAACTCCTTATATCAGTCAATGTCGGAGGGGGGATAACTCCTTATATCAGCCAATGTCAGAAGGGGGATAACTCCTTATATCAGTCATTGTCAGAGGGGGGATAACTCCTTATATCAGTCGATGTCATAGAGGGGATAACTCCTTATATCAGTCAATGTCAGAGGGGGGATAACTCCTCATATCAGTCGATGTCAGAGGAGAGATAACTCCTTATTTCAGTCGATGTTAGAAGGGGGATAACTCCTTATATCAGTCAATGTCAGAGGGGGGATAACTCCTTATATCAGTCGATATCAAAGGAGAGATAACTCCTTTTATCAGTCAATGTCAGAGGGGGATAACTCCTTATATCAGTTGATGTCAGAGGGGGGATAACTCCTTATATCGGTCCATATCAAAGGAGAGATAACTACTATGCTACTCCTAGCAGTAAACATATATCAGCATGTTTTAAGGGTTGATGCAGGTAACATTGTCTTCATTTTAATAACTACCAATATTTGGTACCCTGAGCCCAAATATCATGCCACTGTCTGTGGAGTAAAACTGTGTCTGCAGAACTCTGGATTATCTATTTTAAATTTGATAAAAGTTTGTAAAAAAAAAGTGTTTTGTTTGGTCATTATATGCATCGTTTGATGTTGTTAGATTCACGATGTTGTAGAAAAAAAATGATCTACACTGAAATATGTTGTCTTCTTAGCAAGGACAGACTTCATTTTTACGCCGAAGCTTTATCAGTGATTGGACCATATGCCTTTGATGTCCCAGATGAGAACTTGTGGTTTTAGCGAAATAGAAATCAAAGGTAAAGGTGTGAGAAAAAAATGAATTACCTGTAACTGAGCAAGACAGGGTTATCTCAGTCTCAGGCTAAGATTCTGTAACATCCCAACCTTGGCTAAAACCTCGGTTGGGATTTTGTTACAACATCTTAGCCCTGAACTGAGATAACCCGATCTTGCTCACTTACAGGTAACAGATTTGATTAGTCCAGAAAGTATCAACCAATCAGAAATGAGGAAGTGCCCTTGTTACTTCATTGATACACAGACAGATTTGGTCCATCTTCAATCTACCACAGCCTGAACCAAAGTGAGGCCATCATAAGTTACCTGAATTCTTAACTTACCTGTATTCCATCATACACAGGTGTGCAGTATTCCTTTACAAAATTCGTAGGTAACTCAACATCCAGTCCAAGTGTCCGACTCTCAGCCAAAGCGGCTTTACCATCAAATGGAACGAAGCATAGACGAGTGGTCAACTCGTCGACCGGACGCAAGAAAGCAGGTCCACCTGCCATTAGCTGTAGAAAACAAGTAGGGTACACGTTGGTGTTCATTTGTTGACAGAAAAAGATTCTCAAAGACAGGTTCTAGATATTTTTAGCACTTTCTTCAATTCTGATTTCAAGTTTGACCTTTACATATATACTTTAACTATAAATGCTTCTCTGTTTTGATGATTACTGTGAAATAAGATATTTTTGTGGGGCGCAAACTTCGTGGTTTCCCGAAAAGAAAAGAAAAAATCCAAGGTTTACATGTTTTCCTGGATTATGAGTACCCACTCATACAGAGAATGCTTTATATCAAACTTGTAAATACTTTGTGGACCTATGAATTTGTGGAGAAAGATTACCCAGAAAATCAAAGAAATTAAAAATACTTTGAAAATTACTGATTTCACAGTACATTTGTGTACATGTACTATACACAGACACACAGGTTTATTCTGACAATATACATGAACTATGTACAGGATTAACAATCCTATGATAGTCAGCTCGTAGTATACTCAATTATAATTTTAAAGTTCACAGCTTGATTTTTTCTTTGAATACTTGTGTGGGTGAATTTTCCAATGTTCATCAAGTTCGTACTCAAATTGTTTAACTGAAATCGCATTTACAACATTAAATGGAAGGCTATTCCACATATCTACAATTATCCGTGTGAAAGAATATTTCCTCACATCCAACCTTGAAAACCCTTCATATATCTTACAGTTATGTCAATGTGTGCTTGACCCTTCATTGACCTGTCATATTTCCCGGAAATTATTTTATATCCCTCTATCATGTCACCACGTGGTCGCCTATATGCTACCGTTGGTAGTGAGAGTTTTTGCAAACGTTCCGTATAAGACAGATCACTACACGCCATGAAGACTTAAATTGATCTCTACAGCATAACATTTGTCTGTAATTATGCTGGAAATGAAAATAAAATATTAGCAGTGTTGTCTATCAATTAAATATGATTTATCATATGATTCATGTAATAATAATATATAAAAGTATTGTTCGTCTCTTAAGATAGATTCTACCATGTATTTTTTTTTTTTTAAATCTAATTCTCATAACTTACTGCTACAGATGTTTCAGCAAAGATGGCGTCACACATTTGCTGACATGTCTCAATCCCACGCTGCCTCAGTTTATTTTTCACAACCTCAAAATCAGGGAAAATGTAATAGCCCGCTGCTGGCTTTACTACCTTAACTCCCACCGAAGTCAGTTCCCTACAAAAACACCAGTACATTTCTATAGGATTATTGAGAGGAAATGTCATTTTATAAGTGATAGAGATACAATAAAATATTTCTATATAGAACTCTAAGGAAATTGTAAAAGTTACAATATTTAGAATATAAACAGGACAAATTATGACAGAACCATAGGGATTGATCAGGGTAATTCTTTAAGCAGCCCTGGGTTCAAATTGGGCATCCTCACTAACGCTCTCTGCACCGTTGGAATATGTCATAGCAAAATTAAAGGCACAAAGACTGCTGTTTGATTGTTTGAGGTAAAAAAAAAACCTGACCAATCACTAGGCTGATACCTGTCCTTTAAAATTTACAAAGGGATGACACACGACTTTAAAGTCAGTGAATTTTTGTTACGCGACTGCGAGATTCTTTTGATGTACATCAAAGGATCAAACTAGTCTTCTTGTCTCATCAACAAGGTGGTGCAAACTGAACCTTCAGTTTTGCTATGACATATTCCAGGGGTGTAGAGATTGTAAGTCAGGGTAAGCCCTGGATATCGAGGATGCAAATTGGGAAAATAATTGACAAAACTAGGAAAGTTGAGAATTTTCACAAGTTACATTATAAAATGAAATGCATTATTAATCAAAAGGACCAATATTTAAAAACTACATGTACTCTATTTGAACCTATACAAGATGGAAATATTGGAGGTCTTTTTTCTTATACAACTATGTTTTATTTTATTTTCAATTCCAACTATTGTAAGGTTTGTTTTCAAATACCCAAATTTCCAACAGCTATGATTCTGCAAAAACATCACAAAACGTGATGTAACACACCTACCTATGGCTGTACATGCTGATGTAGAACACTTACCTATGGCTGTACAAGCTGATGTAGAACACCTACCTATGGCTGTACAAGCTGATGTAGAACACCTACCTATGACTGTACATGCTGATGTAGAACACCTACCTATGGCTGTACATGCTGATGTAGAACACCTACCTATGTCTGTACATACTGATGTAGAACACCTACCTATGGCTGTACATGCTGATGTAGAACACCTACCTATGGCTGTACATGCTGATGTAGAACACCTACCTATGGCTGTACATGCTGATGTAGAACACCTACCTATGGCTGTACATGCTGATGTAGAACACCTACCTATGGCTGTACATGCTGATGTAGAACACCTACCTATGGCTGTACATGCTGATGTAGAACACCTACCTATGGCTGTACATGCTGATGTAGAACACCTACCTATGGCTGTACATGCTGATGTAGAACACTTACCTATGGCTGTACATGCTGATGTAGAACACCTACCTATGGCTGTACATGCTGATGTAGAACACCTACCTATGGCTGTACATGCTGATGTAGAACACCTACCTATGGCTGTACATGCTGATGTAGAACACCTACCTATGGCTGTACATGCTGATGTAGAACACCTACCTATGGCTGTACATGCTGATGTAGAACACCTACCTATGGCTGTACATGCTGATGTAGAACACCTACCTATGGCTGTACATGCTGATGTAGAACACCTACCTATGGCTGTACATGCTGATGTAGAACACCTACCTATGGCTGTACATGCTGATGTAGAACACCTACCTATGGCTGTACATGCTGATGTAGAACACCTACCTATGGCTGTACATGCTGATGTAGAACACCTACCTATGGCTGTACATGCTGATGTAGAACACCTACCTATGGCTGTACATGCTGATGTAGAACACCTACCTATGGCTGTACATGCTGATGTAGAACACCTACCTATGGCTGTACATGCTGATGTAGAACACCTACCTATGGCTGTACATGCTGATGTAGAACACCTACCTATGGCTGTACATGCTGATGTAGAACACCTACCTATGGCTGTACATGCTGATGTAGAACACCTACCTATGGCTGTACATGCTGATGTAGAACACCTACCTATGGCTGTACATGCTGATGTAGAACACCTACCTATGGCTGTACATGCTGATGTAGAACACCTACCTATGGCTGTACATGCTGATGTAGAACACCTACCTATGGCTGTACATGCTGATGTAGAACACCTACCTATGGCTGTACATGCTGATGTAGAACACCTACCTATGGCTGTACATGCTGATGTAGAACACCTACCTATGGCTGTACATGCTGATGTAGAACACCTACCTATGGCTGTACATGCTGATGTAGAACACCTACCTATGGCTGTACATGCTGATGTAGAACACCTACCTATGGCTGTACATGCTGATGTAGAACACCTACCTATGGCTGTACATGCTGATGTAGAACACCTACCTATGGCTGTACATGCTGATGTAGAACACCTACCTATGGCTGTACATGCTGATGTAGAACACCTACCTATGGCTGTACATGCTGATGTAGAACACCTACCTATGGCTGTACATGCTGATGTAGAACACCTACCTATGGCTGTACATGCTGATGTAGAACACCTACCTATGGCTGTACATGCTGATGTAGAACACCTACCTATGGCTGTACATGCTGATGTAGAACACCTACCTATGGCTGTACATGCTGATGTAGAACACCTACCTATGGCTGTACATGCTGATGTAGAACACCTACCTATGGCTGTACATGCTGATGTAGAACACCTACCTATGGCTGTACATGCTGATGTAGAACACCTACCTATGGCTGTACATGCTGATGTAGAACACCTACCTATGGCTGTACATGCTGATGTAGAACACCTACCTATGGCTGTACATGCTGATGTAGAACACCTACCTATGGCTGTACATGCTGATGTAGAACACCTACCTATGGCTGTACATGCTGATGTAGAACACCTACCTATGGCTGTACATGCTGATGTAGAACACCTACCTATGGCTGTACATGCTGATGTAGAACACCTACCTATGGCTGTACATGCTGATGTAGAACACCTACCTATGGCTGTATATGCTGATGTAGAACACCTACCTAGGGCTGTACATGCTGATGTAGAACACCTACCTATGGCTGTACATGCTGATGTAGAACACCTACCTATGGCTGTACATGCTGATGTAGAACACCTACCTATGGCTGTACATGCTGATGTAGAACACCTACCTATGGCTGTACATGCTGATGTAGAACACCTACCTATGGCTGTACATGCTGATGTAGAACACCTACCTATGGCTGTACATGCTGATGTAGAACACCTACCTATGGCTGTACATGCTGATGTAGAACACCTACCTATGGCTGTACATGCTGATGTAGAACACCTACCTATGGCTGTACATGCTGATGTAGAACACCTACCTATGGCTGTACATGCTGATGTAGAACACCTACCTATGGCTGTACATGCTGATGTAGAACACCTACCTATGGCTGTACATGCTGATGTAGAACACCTACCTATGGCTGTACATGCTGATGTAGAACACCTACCTATGGCTGTACATGCTGATGTAGAACACCTACCTATGGCTGTACATGCTGATGTAGAACACCTACCTATGGCTGTACATGCTGATGTAGAACACCTACCTATGGCTGTACATGCTGATGTAGAACACCTACCTATGGCTGTACATGCTGATGTAGAACACCTACCTATGGCTGTACATGCTGATGTAGAACACCTACCTATGGCTGTACATGCTGATGTAGAACACCTACCTATGGCTGTACATGCTGATGTAGAACACCTACCTATGGCTGTACATGCTGATGTAGAACACCTACCTATGGCTGTACATGCTGATGTAGAACACCTACCTATGGCTGTACATGCTGATGTAGAACACCTACCTATGGCTGTACATGCTGATGTAGAACACCTACCTATGGCTGTACATGCTGATGTAGAACACCTACCTATGGCTGTACATGCTGATGTAGAACACCTACCTATGGCTGTACATGCTGATGTAGAACACCTACCTATGGCTGTACATGCTGATGTAGAACACCTACCTATGGCTGTACATGCTGATGTAGAACACCTACCTATGGCTGTACATGCTGATGTAGAACACCTACCTATGGCTGTACATGCTGATGTAGAACACCTACCTATGGCTGTACATGCTGATGTAGAACACCTACCTATGGCTGTACATGCTGATGTAGAACACCTACCTATGGCTGTACATGCTGATGTAGAACACCTACCTATGGCTGTACATGCTGATGTAGAACACCTACCTATGGCTGTACATGCTGATGTAGAACACCTACCTATGGCTGTACATGCTGATGTAGAACACCTACCTATGGCTGTACATGCTGATGTAGAACACCTACCTATGGCTGTACATGCTGATGTAGAACACCTACCTATGGCTGTACATGCTGATGTAGAACACCTACCTATGGCTGTACATGCTGATGTAGAACACCTACCTATGGCTGTACATGCTGATGTAGAACACCTACCTATGGCTGTACATGCTGATGTAGAACACCTACCTATGGCTGTACATGCTGATGTAGAACACCTACCTATGGCTGTACATGCTGATGTAGAACACCTACCTATGGCTGTACATGCTGATGTAGAACACCTACCTATGGCTGTACATGCTGATGTAGAACACCTACCTATGGCTGTACATGCTGATGTAGAACACCTACCTATGGCTGTACATGCTGATGTAGAACACCTACCTATGGCTGTACATGCTGATGTAGAACACCTACCTATGGCTGTACATGCTGATGTAGAACACCTACCTATGGCTGTACATGCTGATGTAGAACACCTACCTATGGCTGTACATGCTGATGTAGAACACCTACCTATGGCTGTACATGCTGATGTAGAACACCTACCTATGGCTGTACATGCTGATGTAGAACACCTACCTATGGCTGTACATGCTGATGTAGAACACCTACCTATGGCTGTACATGCTGATGTAGAACACCTACCTATGGCTGTACATGCTGATGTAGAACACCTACCTATGGCTGTACATGCTGATGTAGAACACCTACCTATGGCTGTACATGCTGATGTAGAACACCTACCTATGGCTGTACATGCTGATGTAGAACACCTACCTATGGCTGTACATGCTGATGTAGAACACCTACCTATGGCTGTACATGCTGATGTAGAACACCTACCTATGGCTGTACATGCTGATGTAGAACACCTACCTATGGCTGTACATGCTGATGTAGAACACCTACCTATGGCTGTACATGCTGATGTAGAACACCTACCTATGGCTGTACATGCTGATGTAGAACACCTACCTATGGCTGTACATGCTGATGTAGAACACCTACCTATGGCTGTACATGCTGATGTAGAACACCTACCTATGGCTGTACATGCTGATGTAGAACACCTACCTATGGCTGTACATGCTGATGTAGAACACCTACCTATGGCTGTACATGCTGATGTAGAACACCTACCTATGGCTGTACATGCTGATGTAGAACACCTACCTATGGCTGTACATGCTGATGTAGAACACCTACCTATGGCTGTACATGCTGATGTAGAACACCTACCTATGGCTGTACATGCTGATGTAGAACACCTACCTATGGCTGTACATGCTGATGTAGAACACCTACCTATGGCTGTACATGCTGATGTAGAACACCTACCTATGGCTGTACAAGCTGATATAGAACACCTACCTATGGCTGTACATGCTGATGTAGAACACCTACCTATGGCTGTACAAGCTGATATAGAACACCTACCTATGGCTGTACATGCTGATGTAGAACACCTACCTGTTGCTGTACAAGCTGATATAGAACACCTTCCTATGGCTGTACATGCTGATGTAGAACACCTACTTATGGCTGTACATACTGATGTAGAACACCTACCTATGGCTGTACATGCCCACCACTCCCATGATTCTGGAACAATGCTTCATATACTCATCACAACCATCCAGGTCCTTCAGTGTCTACAAAACAATCATCATAACCATCATCATCATAATGCACCCTTCACTTGTACTCAAAATAAGAACCAACAGAATCTGCACCATTTGTAACTCAATTTCTCCACAATGTGAAATGACATCATCAAAGCACCCTGGAGACTTTGAGAAATAGTTTGGTAGGTTTTATTTTGTTTAACGTCTTATTAACGGCTAAGGTCATCTACCCTGGTAAGGTCATGCCTCCTTGTGTGTATGTGTGCTGGAGGCAGGGTATGTTGGTGTATTTGGCTCCTTGTTATAGGGCGAACCAGATGCACTTTAGAGTGCTACCTCACTGGAATACCATGCCGAATGCATCAAGCCCATATCCCGGCCCGGGTACAGTAACCATTGCCTTCCCCACCTTGGTATGTCCCGGCCCGGGTACAGTAACCATTGCCTTCCCCACCTTGGTATGTGCCGGCCCGGGTACAGTAACCATTGCCTTCCCCACCTTGGTATGTCCCGGCCCGGGTACAGTAACCATTGCCTTCCCCACCTTGGTATGTCCCGGCCCGGGTACAGTAACCATTGCCTTCCCCACCTTGGTATGTCCCGGCCCGGGTACAGTAACCATTGCCTTCCCCACCTTGGTATGTCCCGGCCCGGGTACAGTAACCATTGCCTTCCCCACCTTGGTATGTCCCGGCCCGGGTACAGTAACCATTGCCTTCCCCACCTTGGTATGTCCCGGCCCGGGTACAGTAACCATTGCCTTCCCCACCTTGGTATGTCCCGGCCCGGGTACAGTAACCATTGCCTTCCCCACCTTGGTATGTCCCGGCCCGGGTACAGTAACCATTGCCTTCCCCACCTTGGTATGTCCCGGCCCGGGTACAGTAACCATTGCCTTCCCCACCTTGGTATGTCCCGGCCCGGGTACAGTAACCATTGCCTTCCCCACCTTGGTATGTCCCGGCCCGGGTACAGTAACCATTGCCTTCCCCACCTTGGTATGTCCCGGCCCGGGTACAGTAACCATTGCCTTCCCCA